TTTTACGGTTTTAATGATGTTCACTTTAAACAATACTGTCTTAGATAATGTAAACAAATTTGTTTTGATAATATGACTGTTTCTATCTTTATGTTCTTTGTAATTGATGAGATGACACCGAAATAAAATCAATTTTGAAAATTTTATTATTTTTAGCTTGATCATATTTAATTAAATTTGAAGGAATGTTTTTATTCCTTTTAATCTTTTAATCTGTTTGCTTCTTTTTAGATCTCATCATAACAATTAACACTATGGGAATACTTAACCTGATGTTTCATAGGAATGTTTTACCGGATAATTCTAGCTTAGTAATTCAAGGAGGGCAATAGTTTGGTAGTTAATGTTTCATACTTGATTGTTGTCATTAGATTATCAATTGTTCACTTCATTAAATGAGATAAATCAAATGTAATGTATTTGAAATGTTTTTATCATTCATTCTAGTCCTTTTGTGAATACTGAATATACGTAAATATATGTATTAAATTCAGGATATAAATTATTGGATATACTTTCAAGTCTAAATGAATACAAGCAAAGATGTATAGCGGCTAGCAGTGGAATCCATACTTGTGAATTATGGCAATATCGAGGCAATACACACAGTATGCACATATGACAACAACACTATGATCAATTGCAGTGTTAAATATCAATGGGAAGATTCAAGTAAAACAATACCAAGTGAATCTAAACTTCATCTCATTGCATAAGCAAGTGGCTATCAAGACTCAGTAGTTAAGTGGATAACGTGATGGCGTTTGAAGCGATCGGTACTAGGTTTTAGTCTCAGAGTGAACATCAACTTTGAAATGCAGATGTGTCCAGTTTGACGAGTCCCAAATAGGATGAAACACGCGTCCTGGATTCTACTCCTAGTTACTGTTCATCTTCGCTCATAAAGCTAGTGACTTAAGGCTATATCAAGGCGACTTGCACAGTATGCACATATGCCAACACGAGACTGATCAATTACAGTCCTAAATGACAATGGGAAGATACAAGTAAACAACACCAAACTAAATGAATAAAGTTTAATTTTTATCTGTTGTTGAAATTATTCTAGATTGTGAACCATTTATGACTCAATGAACTGATATTACAATCAAGTGTAATGGCCTTCAGAAGTGTTCATTCAAAAAAACCACTAATGATTAAGCCTAAGAAGGTCAGATCTCGCCCGACACAAAAATAACACAAGACCATTGAATGATTATCAGATAGTTCACACATTCAACTTAAGTTCATAGTAAAGTATTATTTCAGATATTCAGGATAATCGTTTGCTCTGGAATCACTGGCTTGCTATCAAGATAACTTAGGGTATAAAAATAGAATTTATTTGTTTCGCATTTGAAATACCTTGACATTAAGAAGAATGTGTGGGGTTGTGAAGATTTTGAATATTTTGCTGAGATCATCAAACGATGTATCTTGGACAACGAATGAAAACCTGTTAGTACTATACAGCCGTTTCGTCCTAGTGTGAGGCTCCTCATCAATGTGCGTCCACGATCTCGCACGCGGGATTTGAACCCAGGATCTCCGGTCTCACGCAATCAGTGGGGCTAATCCGTATCAGGTAGCGACATGTATCTACTTCAGACAATAGAAGTTGGTTACGTAAATTCGTGGATTTTTTGAAGTTAGATGTTAACACTGTTGGGTGCCGGTTCGGTAGTATGAAGGTTAAGCGTTCGCGCGCGAGACTGAAGGTCCTGAATTGGAATCCTGCGGAGCCAGATCGCGGATGCCCATTTCTGAGTAGTCTCATACTAGGACGAAACGGTTGTCCAGTACTTGCAAGTTTTCAGTGGTAGTCGAACATTCATCGATTCATGATCATCATCATCATCATCATCATCGTCATTCAACGCAATAACTAAATTTTGAGTGAATGTTAGTTAGCTATCCAGAGGACAAAAAAAGAATAGTTAAGTATTTTTCATGCTTCATGCTTTGCTAATCCATGTCGTGACTTTATCCATATAAATTTTCACAAGAATTAATCTCAAATTTGCTCCGTAAGACTGATTTTTAAAATTTATGTGATCATTGAGCAATGAATTAATGTTCGTCACTGATTATAATGGGTATTATGAATTTGTAAATACTGCCGACAAACAGTACATAACCAGTGAGGATTTAACATAAATTATTCTTACAATAAATAGATAACTTTTTTTTTAGTTTGATCGATAAAACGCAATAACAAAGAATAAATATTTACCATCAATAAACAAGTTTGATCATGTTTTCACCCAGAACAGTTAGTTGATTTTATGTGGAACATGTTTTTTTTTCTGGGTTCATGTGTATATGGGCACTTTTCCCAGCAAAAGCTTAAATATTGATTTGAGTTATTTTTGTATAGAACTGACTTATATGTTTTTATTGAATGTTTTGACTAGGACATCAATTCAGAACAATAATTATTTCCTTCAATTGGACGAAAAAGGTTATCGTATAACAAGTATAATTATTAATATTACTAACCGTTGATTAAATAAAACTGTCAAAAGTGGTTCCAATATATATGGTAAAATGTGTTGTTTGTATGAATTAATGATCCCTTTGTCAGTATGGGGGTTGTGGAGATTGTTAAGTTTTTGGTTGAGATCATGAGTCAATTGATGTTAGACCACCGTTGGAAACCTGGGAGCACTGGACGGTCGTTTCGTCCTAGTATGGGACTCCTCAGCAGTGCGCATCCACGACCCCGTACCCCGCGGAATTCGAGCCCAGGACCTACTGGCTTCGCGCCTGAGCACTTAACCATTAGACCACTGAGCCGGCATCCAATGGTGTTAGTGTCTAACATCAACCAATCCACGAAATTGCGCGACCAACTTCCACTGTACTAAGGTAGATACCTGTCTCTACCCGACATGGATTAACATGTGCTCACTAGTGACTAGCTTCGTGAGGGAATTCTCGGAGTTCTAGTGAGAAGTCGTGACCAGTGGAGCTAATCCGTGTCGGGTAGAGACAGGTATCTACCTTAGTACAATGGAAGTTGGTCGCGCAATTTCGTGGATTGGTTGATGTTAGACACTGTCACCATTGGATGCCGGCTCAGTGGTCTAATGATTCCTTTGTACTGGATGTGTGTCTGATTTGGAATTCCAAACGCAATCCGTTCATTTGTGCTCACCTAGTTCTGTTTGGTTGAAATTGCACTATATTGGGGATTCCTATTTTGTATAATAGTGAGACGATAATTTATGAATGACCTTTGAGCAAAGATTTTAAGAATGTCCACCTACTTACTAGGGCTAAATGAGAGCTATAAACCTGTGTGAAGAATAAGGATTATGCTTTACAGTTGATGGTAAGGGTTAGGGTTTAGATTTATAGTTTTATTACGAATGGACATCAGCTAAAATACCAAAACGGTATTTAGACAAATAATTGAATGCATTTTTTGCGCCGAAATCCAAGACCTGTTATCCTAAATCTGATTGGTTCGTCCATAAATTTTAGTCTCGCTGACATTCTGTGTGAACTTCATATTTGTGAATCTTCATTAATTTAGTTTTAAACACTTCCAGTGTTTTGTCCTGCGAATTGTCACGGGCTTCTTCTCGGGAATATTTTTAAAATATGAACAAAAGGCGCTTACATCAATTTTTAAAATGAACTGTCGGCACTTGTTAAACTTCATTGACACTATTCAATTATAACGCTCATTCAATAGTTGGATTCATGTGTTAATTAAAGCTAGACCAACATGGAAAAGCTGGAAGCACTGGACAGCCGTTTCGTCCTAGTATGGAACTCATCATGTTAAAAAACGTTTACTGACTGCTTTTCGTTTTTTTTTTTGAATAATTAGTGCATTTTTATTCTGGAGATTTGTATATCAGCATCTCATGTTATAAAGTGATAATATGCTTGTTGACTAATCTATGAATGATCGTGTTTGATACTCTCGAAATCCATATTTCTTTTCACACACTGTTAACAGATCGTGTGATGAATATTAAAGTCAAATGGATTGTAGTTTAACTTAATGTAACTGATAATAAAGTGTAGATAAGCTTAGGTAAAAGTGACTATCGAAAATATTCATTTGGTCTACATATATGTCAAAGATATTACTATTAGATGGATTTTGTGGAGATTGTAGTCATTTCAATGGTTAAGATCATGAGTCAGTCGAAGCAAGACCACCATGGGAAACGTGTAAGCACTGGACGACCGTTTCGTCCTATTGTGGGGATCCTTAGGTGTGTGCATACATGACGTCTCCCCCTGCGAGATTCGAACTCAGGACCTACTGGTTATGCGCGCGAGCACTTAACCACAAGACCACTGAGCCGGCATCCGACGGTGTTCTAGTGAGAAGTAGTGACCAGTGGAGCTAAATCAGGTTTGTTGTGAGATATCAACTCACTGAAGACGATGGTGAATATGTCGCCCGATTTCGTGGATTAGTTGAAGTTAAACATTAACACCGCTGGATGCCGGCCAGCTCAGTGGTCTAATAGTTAAGCGCTCGCGCTCGAGACTGATAGGTCTTGGGTTCGAATCTTGTCAGGCGGGATCATGGATGCGCACCGCTGAGGAGTCCCACACCAGGACGAAACGGCCATCCAGTTGTTCCAAGTTTTCCATGGTGGTCTAGCTTCAACTGACTCATAATCTTAACCATTGAAAAGATATTACTGTTAATTTCTCATTTCTAATCATATACATAATCTATTGATTACAAGGAGAACTAGTAAATTATTATTTTACTGTTGCTAATTGTTAATCTAACTGCTAAACATTGTCTATAATTTATCCGAGTTACAAATTATGTTGAACTATTAACAGAAAGTATTTTATAGATTCCTTACACTACTAACTTGGACTAAGGAAGCACTTTGTTGAAAGGTAACTGAAAATACAAAAGGATTAGACTGAAGGATAAACTATATATTCATGCATATATATATATATATATATATATATATATATATATATAATATGGATAAGGTAAAAGAGTTACTTACATTTGCCAAGAAAATATTTGAAATACCATCTTGTCTCTCGTTCAGGATTTTCTAAATGTAATGGTGTAGTAGTAGATTTAAAATTCATTCCTGAGCTATTATTATAAATTGTATATGGTTCATGATCAAACATAAAGTATTCATCATCAAAATTTGTTACATTATTACCTGTACCAAATGATTGTGATTGTTGTATTGTTGAAATTGGTTGAATTTCAGAATTATCTAATTGATTTAATCCAATTTCATATGAAGATCGTTGTGATTGTCTTTGACTTTGATTTGTTTGTAATGTTGTTTTCAGTAAATTATCTCTAAAATGATTTATCAGTTGTGTATCATTAAATTCACTTAAATGATGATTAACAATTCCTTCATTTGATCTTGATTCATCCGGTATAGATAAACAATCATAATTTTTAACGCTGTCATTATCATTAGTAGTTTCAAAATTTTCAACTGATAAATGATTTTTGTTAATGAATTTGATGAATCTTTCATTTTTAATGATAAATCAAATGAGATTGAATTCAGATAATTCGGTGATGATTCTACTACTACTTTTCTATTAGGTACTATATTAATCTCTGAACGAAATCTTCCTGCATTATTTATATATCCATTAGATTCACTTGTTAATGAGGTATTTTCTGAGAAATACATCTGTATATAAATACAAAAAAAAATGATTTTTTTTCCCGTAGCAACCAAATTAAATCGATATTTTTCAGGTTAAATTATACTACTCTTATATCATGACAACAATTATTATAATGATAATAGTAATAATCAATATAATAATAAGAAATTCATTCAGTTATCAATTAAATGGGATCCAAAAAAATATACTCAACATTATTACTGATCAATAAATGAATAGGTTTATTAAATCCTTTTACTTTGAAATCATACACTTCATTTAAACAATATACACTTCTATAATAGAAACAAATTGTATATCAATTCAGAAGGTGAACCAGATTAGTTTCTTCACTATATATATATTTGTATAATTAATAAGAAAGATCCCCTGAATACTCGTTATTAAATTTTAGAAATGATATCAAGAATTTAATAAAGTTGACATCTTTTTTTTCTCTTCATGTATGTATACTATTTAATATAATCGATAAGGGTTTAGCTTATCCATATAATATGCTGTTAGCCTATAGGCCACATAAATGGAGAGAAAAGTTATACATAGACCAATTGTATGGTATATATATGCATATACATATGTATGTATATATCTATATCATTTAAACAAAATAACAAAGTGAGTAAAATAGATTAGAGAGGTAGGCATTATATTTATTTTGGATTGAGTAAAATAGTTTAGGTGGGCGGTTTTTGTTCTCTACATTATAGAATATAAATACGAGTATGATGAAGTGAATAGTGAAATATATTATAATGAATAAATTAGGCGATAAATATTGTGGACATATTTAAACAAACAAAATATATAACAGAACAATAAAATAAAAGTTATCTTTAGCTATACAATTAGAGATGAGCTATGTGTATGTGGTCTGATTAAAGGATAGGCACAAATAATTTCTAGCCATAACGACTATTGATCACAGAAGAGAAAATAATAATAACAATAACACATGATAGTCATCTGACTGAATATGAGTAGAAAAATGACGATTAATATTGAAGTGAAATAAACAATCCATATAAATCATTAATAATCATAGCTGCTGATATACATAATCAGCTGTGATGAAAGCAATTTTCTAATATTCCAGTCTGAGTTTAATCTATTCAGATACAATTAGTGGTGAATATATCAAATCAACTTGATGTAATCAAACAAACAATTATGTCAGAATGGTTTTTTTTATAGATTTTAGTAATTTGATAGTTGAATTCATGAGTCGATTGAAGTTAGGCCACCATGAAAAACCTGGAAGCACTGAACGGCCGTTCCGTCCTAGAACGAGACTTCTCAACAGTGCACATATATGATCATGCCCTGCGGGTTTAGAACCCAGGATCTATCGGTTTTGCGCGTGAATATTTAACCCCTAGGCCACTGGTGAGGAGTCCCATACTAGGACGAAACGGCCATCCAGTGCTTTCAGGTTTTACATGATGGTCTAGCTTCAATTAATTCATGAATTCAACTATTATAAAATCATATATAAATTTAAATTAATTAAACTGAATTTTTCCATTCAAGTTAATGAATTCTCCAGTATTCTATACGATAATAATTACTATTTGACAGTAATGAAAGGATTCATTGTTTCAACAGATTAAAATCTAGGTAAATACTTGATAATAATGTATTCAGTTTAATGAAGTTAAAATTAATGTCGGTCAGTATTTTACAAAATATGGAAAAGATTAATCATTAATGACAGAATTGACAGATAGATGATTAGTGTTTTGAAGAAATAAGGATGAAATTACTTGGATTGATAAAGAAAATGGGAATTTACGTTGTGTAATGGTTTACATGAAAGTCATCGGTTAGTTGTATGAATAATCCAAGCGCTAACCTAAACCAGCTGCACTTTCAAAATAATGTAGTAAATAAAATATGTATTATGGGTTCATTCAGGAACTATTATCAAATACATTTGGTTTATAACCAAAAAAAATTTATTCTCATACATCTGAAAGGGTGACTATTTGAATCTCGTAATTATCATCTTGAAAGCCTGAACAAAAATAACTAAATATGTCAGAGTTATACTAAAAGGATTCTCCCTAATCCAGTGAGAAAATCCTCAAAATAGTCTATGCATTTATTCAGTGTAATATAGTTCAGAAACCTAATGCATGTTCAAATATCAGACTTTGAGTAGCAATGTAAACAATGTAAACATTAGTAGTACTCAAAAGAACAGAATTTGTGAAACACGGTTTGAAACATTGCCAAATTTTTCTTGCAAAAGTATTTGTTACTATAGAATTAGCATATTTGAACCATTTTAGTTTACTTCAAAACATTTCACAGTACAGCGATTCATTATGTAGTAGATCAAAACACGTAAAGGGAATTGGAAGCGAATTCCACCAGCAAAGAATGTATATTTTTTGGGAGTTATCTATGTTATTTAAAAATGGTCAGGAAGAAACAACAGCAGTTCCGTGATGTAGTTTACACTTCGAATAAATATTACAAAAGGCTATAATCACAAAATATTGGGAAGTGTTTGCTCTTGCTAATGTCATTTGTGAAATTAGATTGTATTTATATGTGCAAGTCAGTCAAAAGCCAAGTATACTTTGTCGATTCCCGCCAACTATACATAATTCCTGCCATATATTTTAAAGCATGACTAGAGGATCCGAACTAAATATTTTTTCCAGTAACATTCCAATTGTGAGAAATTAAATTCAGGCTTTCGAGTAGGCGCGAATATATTTGCGAAAATATGTTTCGCTACTCACAATCTAAAAGTAGTAATAAAGCATATGCTAAAATATATAGAGCTCACTTCATTTGCCGATTTGTATCCAAGCTTCCTAAATAATCTTCTTCTCATGTCAACCCTTGTTTTATTCGACCTGAAATTCGAATGATAAAATAAACGGATTTTGTTTATAGAAATAAAGAAGGATGATTTAGCATTTACTTCTATATATTGTTAGTGAATAAATTAACTTTCATGTACTTGAAGTACATCAATTCAAACTGCCTCTTTCAATGAACAAAAACATGTTGTGAGGATAGAAATGCTACAATATTGGAAAGAAATCGAATACTGAATTCACAGTGCTGCTGGAAACTATAAATCTTCTTACTTTTATCAACCAGTTTCACCAATGATTAATGATCAGGTTTCAATAGTATGATCTTTCCTCCTCTTCCCGACATTGTTGTAACGTACGGATAGTTTTATTAAACTCACTTGTCTTCATATCCTTTATAATCATTTTCCACATCCAAATAATTTATAGAGGCTAGTACCATGTCAAGCCTGCATAGGTCGTTTTAACCTCTGGATTTGTCACTTTATTCAATACTTCTCAAGCAACATTTTTGCCCTGTTACTTATTTGCTTACTAATCCTGAATGTGTTTTATATGATCGTATGTATGCGAACTGATTATTCTACTCGTCATGTGTTTGTGACTTATTTTTGTCTGGTTATAAATATTGAGTCATGCTTAATATAAACGAGTTGGCTCACATGCCTTCTCCACCGCCCCATCATTTCGTTCCGCTTCATTCTCGTTTGATCGTTTGTCTGGATCAATGATTGTATGAAATATACATATTTCAAATTTCGTTCTCGTGTTTGACTTATTTCATTCCATTATTCACCAACGCCAGTTAAGTCAACGATTATATACGAGGGTATTCAGAATGTATATTTTGGTAGCAATCATTCGATAATGATCATTTGTCCGATCCAATTGGATCTAAATATAGGACCACTAAAAATTTAGAGGAACTCTAAATTAGACAACTTCATGAAGAGTGTAACTTTTACTTTGTGAACATATAAGATTTATCTTTTATCAAATAAATGTTGTCTTGTCCTGGAGCAGCAAAGCCAATGAGAAATATCTTGGAAAGTATATGACGAGTAATGTGATAGATCTAAAATTGATGATGTAACCAGATCATGGTTATGTCACTGTTTTAAGGAAGAGAAACAGTACAAATTAAATCGGGAGAACTAACATAATCACAGGAATAAACACAGTTATTGGCAGGTGGAAAATTGGAGTCTTAAATTTCTTGAAAAGAAGAACTATTATTCTCTTGAGGTTATCTGCCTTTTTAATTAAATGGAACATTATGAGAAAATGAGCATACTTTATATCTATTTATCAAGATGTGTCCAAACCGTTATATCGCGATATAACTCGCAGTATATAAAAATTGTTAGACAAATGTTATTTGTGCAGAAACCCGATTAAATATGAAACTGTTCAATGCCGTAATATCCTAGACATAAAAATAAATTCCAATGTGTGTTGGTTAGTGAATTCTCATTTATTTATTTCCAGGAGCCGAGTGTAAATGGACGAAGAGTTCCAAAATAAAGTCAGGTACATACACTCCCATTAACGTGAGATTGTAGAGAACCAAGAAGTGAGTAAAGAATTAGTAATGAATCCAAAAGTCCTTATCGAAATGAAACTTGAGTGATGATAGAAATGCATTAACATGCCAACATTTTTTCCAAACTTGTTTAACTACTATTTATAAGCAAGTAATAAGTTTATTTTAAGAAAAGCAAATTCATGGCTCAAACAGTTTGACAGTAATACTAGATAAAAATATTTAGTTCTATTATAGACCTAACTTAACCTTATATCATACATCCAAAAAGTATACATTTTTCAAATATCTTGGGTTGACTGCTGAAATGTCATTACTTTTGTTATTATTAAACTATAGTAAGGAAAACTGTTTGTTACGGCATAAAAAAGAATTCATTTTGTTTGAGACGAAAGACAGTTGCCGATCACGTATATGGTATGCAAACTATTAAAAAATGGCTATCAATAAATGTGTTTAATTCATTACAGAAAACGAAATGAAATTATTTTGGATATAACTTATGATGAACATCTTTTTGATGCCTTTTAAAGGGTAACATTTAAAATTAACTACAATATGAATTTTCTATTCCTTCTTACTCTCCTTCGAAATTGTTACATAAGAATACAGTAGTTACTTGTAGTCATCCTAAACGTCTTTACTTATTAATACATTTCATTACTTTTACAATTCGACTTCAGCTTCATTGAGAAATAACATATAATCTTAATAGATTTTAATTCACTGTTGTTCATTATTCTACATGTGTATTCTATGATTATTCCATGATCTCTTACAATAGAAACAAACGTCCAAAGTAATTTAGATGGTGGTTGGATGTAGTCAACAGGAAACCCTGGACCCGGGTTTCGTTCTACTTGGCACTCGTCTGCAAAGTGTACCTGTAATCTTGAGGGAACTGGTGCTCCCTGGCGGATTCGACCTCGTATCACCCAGCTTCACAGTCAGAGACGTTACCATTGAGCTATCCAAGCCGTGACTAACCTCCTGTAGGACTGAGATGTAATCACAATTGATTGATCACTGGGTGGTGATCAATGTCTTGCTTGTCTAGTCCCAAGTAATTTGTGTCATTACAAACTAAACTATTTTGAAACAATTAGTCCCTTTGATAAATTTCGATAATGCAATGAGAAGACGTAGTTTATCAGAATTATGTGATATATTTGCGCAATACATTTCGAACAATCTGATCACACATATACTTGTTAAGGATATTTATATATGAAAAATTAAAAGGTCAACTAGACAGGTTAAGGGTAAGTCATAACAAAAGAAAAAATATTAAAGTACACAAAAACAAATGTGATTACCACTCTGAATAGTAAGTCAGTACTACCAGGGTAGGTTAAGTGTAAGTACAAATTGTTTTTGAACACATAAAGGGGTTTATATATAAAAATAAAAGGTCAACTAGACAGGAAACGGGGTAAGAGGAGATAAGGATAATGATAAGAGTAATAATAATAATAATGTGAACACAAAGCGAAACCTAATCACTCTGGATAATAAGTCAATATTACCAGGGTAGGTTTAAGGTAAGAACAAACTGTTTTTGAACACATAAAGGGGGTTTGAATTTTCGTATGGCTAAGGCTTCAATGAACCTTAGTATACGCCCTTTTACACTTTTATACAGCACTACAAAAGCTGAATTTAGATCAATCTTGTGACCTGTTTCAATTATATGTTTAGCAATAGAGGATGATGGATGTTTATCCTCTGCTCTTATTGGGTCACTTGATTGTATTTGATTCTGAAGCCATGCTTCATTCAAAACCTAAAGTACATGGAAACGATTGCGTCACATCTCACTGTGTTTACCAATTTAAATGTGTGTGTGGTCACACATACATAGGGAGGAGTAATCGTGATCTCAACATTAGGGTGAGTGAACATGTACCCAAATGGCTTCAGAATCAAATACAATCAAGTGACCCAATAAGAGCAGAGGATAAACATCCATCATCCTCTATTGCTAAACATATAATTGAAACAGGTCACAAGATTGATCTAAATTCAGCTTTTGTAGTGCTGTATAAAAGTGTAAAAGGGCGTATACTAAGGTTCATTGAAGCCTTAGCCATACGAAAATTCAAACCCCCTTTATGTGTTCAAAAACAGTTTGTTCTTACCTTAAACCTACCCTGGTAATATTGACTTATTATCCAGAGTGATTAGGTTTCGCTTTGTGTTCACATTATTATTATTATTACTCTTATCATTATCCTTATCTCCTCTTACCCCGTTTCCTGTCTAGTTGACCTTTTATTTTTATATATAAATGCTCTTAACAAGTATATGTGTGACCAGATTGTTCGAAATGTATTGCGCTAATATATCACATAGTTCTGATAATCTTCGTCTTCTAATATCATTATCGAAATTTATCAAAGGGACTAATTGTTTTAAACATAAAGGGGGTTTCAATTTTCGTATAGCCAAGGCTTCAATAAACCTTAGTATACGTCCTTGAAGGCTTTTGTACAACACAACAAATGCTGATTTGATATCAACCTTATGACCCGTCTCAATCAAATGTTTCGCAATGGATGATGATGTCTGTCTATCCTGTGATCTTATTTCACCATTGGAATTCATCTGATTTTGCAACCATTTTGGTATATGTTCACCCACCCTTAATTGCAAATCACGGTTGCTCCTCCCTACGTACGTGTTTCCACACATACATGTAAATTTATAGACACAATGGGATGTGACACAATCGTTTTCATGCTGTTTGGGCTTTTGGTGAAACATAGACCTTGTCTTTTCGATAATGACAAGTTGGGCTGCATAAAATGTCCGGTTGATAGCTAATTTAAGTCTCTGTTTCAACATGAGACTATTTATGTCACCTCTGAATGGTAGCGTAATATAAACTCGCTTTTTGGGTGCCAGAAGCGTCATAGGTCTAGTCATATTGCAACCCTTCCAGCGGTTTATGAACTTCAAAGGGTAACCATTATTGATTAACGCATCAGTCAAGAGCTTCATCTCTACTTCAATAGTATCACTAGTACAAATACGATTGATCCTATTGAATAAGCTCTTTATTAAACCACGTTTATAATGAATAGGGCAGTGACTATGAAAATTAAGATATTGTCCTGTCCATGTTTTCTATATATAGCACGTTTGATGGAACCATCATCTCTCCTAGTAATCAGGATGTCAAGAAAAGGAAGTTGGTTGTTCTTCTCTTCTTCACATGTAAGAGAAATGTGGTTTTGACTACTATTGAATTCTTCTAACAAGTGGCTTATGTCTTCAATTTTATCACCTATGATTATTATGTCGTCTACATATCGTTTATACAGACCCATCTTTCGAATTGAGTCTCCAACTAAATTTTCCACATATCCCATGAACACATCAGCTAGCAATGGTCCTAGAGGGCTGCCCATAGCTACACCATCTATTTGTCTGAAGTGTTCACCTTCAAATGTGAATTTTACATTATCTGTACATAATAATAATAAATCTTTAA